CTTAGTGATAGAAGTATTATGCTCAATGAGTGTATAGAGGTAGAGAAAAATTCACCGAATTCTGTGTGCTTAGGGTTAAGCCTTGAGGTCAAATTTTATATTTGTACAACTTTTCCTTTCTAATTCGGTGTTGCATTTTTTGAATCACATATGAGTTTAGAATTTTATGTATCGATTCTGATCATTTCCTCTGCCAGTGGCGAGAACTCCATCTACATTTCAGGTCGTTGCACATCGAGCAGCTGACGCTAATGTGATTTGTCGTTGCAAAAATGTAACTGCCTGCCTCTCTTGTTGCTCTGAAAGCTGTCATGCAATTCTTTAAAAATATTGTTAAATGTTACAAACATAACTGTTTGGCTTGAAGTAACTTGGCTGCAATCCGTTGTACTGTGCTGGAGTGTGTTTATACCTTTTCTCCTTGCTTGAGCTTCCCTGCTTCCCCATGTGTGCTGCTGGAGTTCACTTTGATACTTGTGATATCGTGAATTCAAGTCTCAAGTGAATTCTTCAGTTGCATTGCATATGTAGGGTACGATTAGATGTGTGAAAGCATTAAAGAAAACTGCATTGATCTGACAATCTTAGCTGCTCATGTGGGAAAATTAGAATGTTGATCTACAAAGAGTGTGGACATATTTCTCCAGTGTTATTTCTGCTAATTAGTTCAGTACGCAGAGTTACAGTGCACTAACGCTTACCGTTAAATTACAATTCACTGTTACACAAAACTGAGAATGTTAAAGAAAAATGCTTTGTAAAAGTAATTTATGAAATCTGATAAATTGTTCCTTTTTTTTCCTTTTTTTTCTTTGCTTTTTTGCTTTTATTCTTTTTCCCAACTGCTTCCTCTGAAGTCTCCTACCAAATGGTTTTGGAAACTGGTTCCTGTAAGTTTGCCCAACTGCCTCACTTTGATCAAACAGCTTATTTTGGGAATGGCTTTGTCCATGTCATGCTGGTCTAATCATTCATTTCACTTGTCTCTACAAGATAACTTTGTGAGAGCTTGCTCTGCAAACATGTGTGTAATACGGAAGCTTATTTTGCAAGGTAATCTGTGCAAAATAAATGTAAGATATGATGCTGGAAGACATTACTTTTGAAGCAGTCAAGTTCTCTACGGGTTTGTATAAAGTGGTGTTACCTGTTATTGACTAATGTCAAATGATTAGGTTTTATGCAAATTACTTTTTCATAAGCTTTCAACAAACATGTGCTATACGATACTGACTCTCTTTTCAAGAGAGAGTTGCAGACATTGGGTTTGATTGTTGATGCTACATGGAATCTGAAATGTTCTGGTTTATTTTAGCAAGATGCAGTCATTACACCGTTCATCCAGGATTCCCTAGTTTTTCAGCTGATTTAAGACTGCTGTTAATCTCTCCCCACACAAAGTGAGACTGTAATTTCACTAAAAGCAATAGAAAGCAACTGTTCGGGTCTGCAACAATAATGAAGTTTGTTTCCTCCCTGTTGTGTCACCTTGGGATTATCATTAGTTTCCTCAATCATATAGTAATTCACCCCCAAAATGCATTCAGATTGTTTATTCTGCGATAGGTTTGGCTGGGAATAAAACAGTGAGCTCTTTAGCTGTATGCAGAATTGCATGCTCCTGGTCTGAATTCCAAAGAACTAATTCTGCTCTATCTTTGATCTAAGGATTGCCAAACAACTGCCCTAGCAGTCCCTCAGATATATCTTGGCATAAGTAGTAAAAGATTGCCCATACATTGCCAAGAGCAATAAAAATGACAGTTATATGTAGGCAACCACAGAAGTTATTTGGTGTCTGGAAAACAAGTTTAAAAGTACTGTCTTAGCAGACAAATCAGTATTCAAATCTGTAACGGTTTATGCTATACAGGGAATTTCTCTATAATGCTGTCAGTTACAGCTGTGACACACAGAAATGCACTGATCTTCACTGAATCCTGTTTTGAAATTGAGATAGCGTAATTAAATGAAGGGAATAACACACACAAAAAAAAAGGGTGTTGGTGATCAGAAATTTCGGCACCTTTTTTGTCTCTTTTTCTACAAAATAAGGTGGCTACTTCAAAGCAGCTTCAAAATATGTTTTGGTTCTGGTTTATGCCTAAGGTGTTAGTTTACTAATGACTCTCTTCCATAGCATGAAAATGATATTCAAGGAATCCTGTTGAAAAGCCAACTCCAGTTTGCCTGGCAGTTGTCCATAAACAACTCGAATGAGTGGTATTTATGTTACTTTGAGCTTGTTGGTTTAGTAGAGATACACCTCAAAGTGGAGCGTGCAGTAGGAAGGCAGAGGCTCCGGCTGCTCTCACCAGTGTTCTCATCTCTTTACTGTACATAAAGCAGGTGTTTCAGAGCGAGGTGAATGTTGCTGCGCATACAGGAGAAATGTACTCTGGAAAGTAAATTTATATCTGCTGTAGGGTAAATGCAGACGAGCATTCATTCTTATGAATAGCTTAGAATGCCCATGAGCACTTAGAGTACCCGGTGTGCTGCTGGTTCATCTTCACCTGACCTTGTTTATGTGCAAGTGTCTCGACTATACCGAGACTCTTTTAAGTGGAATAAGCTCAAAGACACTAAATCAGGCTGGTTTAGGATCTCAGAGACAAGCTGCCTGTATTAGCATTTATGTTTAAATTAGCACTGGAGCTCTGTAATAAATGTAGAAGTTCATCTTTCGCATTATTCTATCCATATTTAGTAGCAAACATTGCAGCCGATGAGAAGATTTTCTTCACATGGAAGTTTATTAAAAATGCAGTGCAATTACCAGCGTCTTTTATTTTTCAGTATAATTTCTTTTATCTTTTCAACTAACATGAAACACGATGCCTGTCATACCCTAATGAACCTAGCGTATCAGGTTATGTAAGTTTATTTTTCCTGAAGTAACGTGCCTGGCATACTCTCTATAATGAATTAAGTCTTCTTTCTAGGCCACTTTAATGATATGACACAGTTTCCAGCATCTGCAGGCACTGTTCGTAAGGCCAGTAACGGCATCATTAAAGTGACAGAAGACTTTTTCACAGGATTTACTTTCCAAGACCACTGCATTATTAGTTGCAAGTATTTTTGAACGTTCTATTAAAAAGATACTATTTAAAAGAAGATATAAATTACACAGGTCTTGTTGGACCATCATGTTAGATTCTCTCTGTGTCCTGTATATTTTATCATGATTTTATAATAAAATTGTAATATTTCATAGACTTAATTTCATTTGGAGGAGGAAATGCACGGACATGCGAACATGGTGTTTGAAACTTAACAGTATTTTCGTGATAGTGGGTCACTGGATTGCCACAGAGTGAAGAAGAAAAAACTTTCACTGCAGGAATAATTGGCCTGTTTCCTTAGAAATAGTATGGAGTGTTACTAACATGGGGAAAAGAATATTAATAATGCATGAAACACTAACATAATTTTGTTCGGTCTTAGTGAGTATTCCCCATAGCATGCAAAAATGGCATTTTTGTTTTTACGTGGCGTATCTGACACACAAATACCAGTACATTTCAAGGATCAAATACGCTAACTTTACGAGGTTTTGTTGGTGTTTTTGTTTTTGTTTTTTTTTAATATTAATTGGTTGCAGTACAAATCCTCTGGGCCAAATACCAACCGTTTATTTTTCTAGAAGTGATGTGTTTGCTGTTGCCAGATTAGACCTGGGCCAGTTAAAGGACACTGACGTTCACTAAAGCTAATCCCATGTGATCCTTGACAGAAATCCAGGGACAGTAAGTATAGCCCTCAGGGTTAGTCTGTGGTTCCGCAGACTTTCGCCAGCACAGCCAGCTTCAACAATTCCCACCCCACCCATCAAACCTCCAGCCCTGCCGCCTCGTTCCCTGCAGAAACAAAGGAGAGAGATTGTAGCTGGATCAATGGTTTTACCATGCAGGCACTTTAGGAATTGCTCCAACACGGCCAAAAAGGTGGGGAGCAGGAGGTAGTAGCTGTCAGCTTCAGCTTTGCTGGGGCGAGTAACATCCAGGAAGATTGCTCATTTGAGTTTAGTGTTATGGATGAGTGAAAATAGTGTAAAATCAACTCAGAAACGCTCTTGAAGTCGTAGGTAGTTCTGTGGCATGAATAGGAAACTCATCCTTCCATCCTGTTGTAAAAATAAGTAAATAATACTAACAAATTTATATCACTTTCTTCCACCTCTGTCTGCTTTCCCAGGAAGAAGTGAAAAGGAACTAAGGACGATGAATACTTTTTTTTTTTTTTAAGTAAGACCTCTTAATAATGATGAATACGCTTTTTGGTTTTTTTAAGTAAGATCTCTCTCCCCCCACAAAAATATTGCAGATAATTTTTAACCTGGTATTTTGAACTAATGATCTTCTTATACACTGATTTTTTTTTTTTCCAAATGTTTCCTTTTAAAACTGGGCTGCTGCATGGTCATGAAACTTGACCATTAATGCTTCTGTGTGTTTATGACTGCTTGTGGTGACACATGGAAGTAGTAAAACCAGAGTTACTCAAACGCAGATTTCTCTGTTTCTGAATTTGCCATTAAGTCAGTCGTATGGATGAGATTTTGGGCAAGATTCTTAGGTCTGCTAACTTCACAGAGTCATTTGACTTGCCAGTAAACCCAACTTACCCCAGCTAAGGGTTAGTATCATTGTGCCTACAGATAAATCATTCTGACTGTATAGCAGCAATGAGTGTTGAACATGAGTGCGAGTAGATGATGTTTAGTTCAGCGTGCTATACAGAGATCATAAAAATTTGGTACTTTTGAAAGAAATATTGGGAGAAATTTGAAAGAAATACGCTCAATTGTAGCGTTATCATTCATAGGTGTTATTAATGCCATTCAGAGAGGCCCATACCATGAATAGTTTTAAGAAAAATTCAGCTATTTATTGAATACTGCTTTTTCACTAACAGGGTGTAAAACCTGTGGTATGAATCTGTTTCATCTGTTGCAGAGCTTTTGTCTCTCTGAATTTCTTCATTCTATATTGTAGGCTCGCTACAGGAAGGAGCAAACGTTGCTTAAACAGCTGCCCTGCATTCCTCTGGTGGAGAACCTGCTGAAAGATGGTACAGATGGTTGTGCTCTAGCAGCCCTGATCCACTTCTACTGCCCAGATATCATAAAACTGGAGGGTAGGTGTAACGTGTCTAAGCTTGTAAACATACGTCCATAGGAGTTTAAATGTCTGTGCTTGATAACTATGTGGAGGAAGATGCTTAAGAGGCGTAATTTGAGTGTGGTGGGTTTAGCATTAACTTTACGCCTATTTATTTTTGCATCTAAATAATAGGAGCCAAGGTGTCCTTCCACATTGTGCTTGTTTTTATGTTACCGTGCTAATGTCAACATGCTAAGATAGATTCTTACAGATCTGACTGTGGCGATGGATTTGCCTTTGTGCTGTGAAACTTCAAACCATCTGGAAAACTCTTCTTGAAGCTGCCCAAGTGCCTTCTTGTGAACCTGGGTGATTATAGATACGAAACATGGAGGAGGTTAGCGTTAGTCAAGCTCTGCATAGCTGCATTGCGTGCCAAATGGTTGCTCTGTATTTTGGGCTTTTGGTTCACATGATAATTGCCTAGGTCATTTGTAGAATAAACAAAAATATATAATCTGGAATGCATTGTGACACGCTGTTCTGAGACAATGAGCAGATTCATCGTGTTCTTTTGCTCAGCAGCCTGCTTAAAGTCGTATCTTCTTCTTGGCAGCCAAGAGCCTCACGTAGTTGTAAAATGTCTTGGCAGCAAACACCCATCATTTTCTGCCTGTGTTCTGTCTGTGATACCTTTGATGTCGTGGGAACACTGAGACAGAAGCATCCTGAGAAATCCAGGAATATGAACAAGGTATAAAGCTTGCTCAGAACTGAAATCTGGAATACATACACCCAACCACTTTATAGGGAGCTCCCGGCACAGTGGGTGTTGGAGATGAAAGACGCCGAGATGTGTGCATTCACGATTCGGCTTCGGCTTGTGAACTTTGAAAAATGCAACTTTCAATTTACATAAGTGTTGCAGCAGCCAAATACGTACTATTTTATGTGATTAGGGAAGAATTGAAGCTCGAGTGGTGTCAAATGGGAGTTAACACCTGGTTCCTTCTTGCTCTTTTAGCCTGAAAATACGGACAGTCTGAAAGATCTTGTGTACCTTGCGTGACCACACATATACTTACCAGTAGATTCCTCCAGCATCTAGCTTTAAACAAGACAAGGCACATGTCATCTTTGGAGCTTTAGTTCTAATGGTCTTGTTAGGTATCCTGACATCATTTTTCCTAAAAATGCATAAATGTACGTGTCATTGTCCTCGAAGTAACTTCAGAGGTGCTCTGAAGAAACTAGAAGCAATTTAGAAAGACTTTGCCCATCATTCCTCTATTTAAATCATAGACTTTTTGATGCATGTCAAATTTCACTGAGATTTTGGTTCTGTATTGGAATTGAGGAAGGCAGGTAACAAAAATGCATATGCAAAAATGCTTAAAAAAGCATTAATAAAAGAGAAGAAAAATAAGATAAAGTTCTCTGTAGTCTGAAATACGTGTTTTTTCTCATTAAGCCTTTATTTAACTTTCAAATCTAGGCTTCCTTCAAGGAATACAGGACTAGAAAGGACTCCCTATGTCAGTGAGTGAAGAAATTGGCTCTTGTATGAAATTATAGAACACCTTTCATGAATTTATCATAGTCTATTTTAAAACTGTCTAGCTCTTTAAGATCTCTACTCTTACCCACTGTTTCAGAGCTCTGCTTTTTACGTGGTTCTAAATCTTATTCTTGTTTTCTGCCTAAACGTGCTTGTGACCTGTCCGTGTGCCTTTGTTCTTTCAGCAGTGCCCTTTGGCTGGAGTAGCTTCTCTTAATCTGGTATCTTCCTTTGTGATAGGTTCCCTTTCTCTTGTTTTGCCCAGACTACAGAACCAAACCTTTCCAGTCTCCTCTTCTGAAGTGCATTCCCATTCTCGTTATTGTCCTCAATAGTCTTCCTCAGCAACTCATCCAGTTTTGGTTCATCTTTCTTTCGCTAGTGGTAGTCGGAATTGTTCACAGAAATCCAGACAGGCATCTTGTTACTTTTTTGTACAGCATTTCTCCATCGCTACTGAAAATAAATTTTCTGATGTATTTTAGCATCCTGTTTGCTTTTTTCTCATAGCTGCATGATGCTAAAAGTTCGTAAACATCTTTCTGTTGGCTAATACATGATACCTTCCTATTCTCTATTACTTTCAACCAGTGAATCACATTACAATTTTATTTAGATTCTAATGCCTCGCTTTGCATTTTGCATTGCTAAATTTAATCTCAGTTTGGTCAGTTCAGTCAAACATTGTTTTCATTGATCATCATTTGTGATGTTGGGATGATGGAACATGTCTGACTTATTCAGGATGGGAATCCTTATCCTGCCAGCATCAAAGTAGATTCCTTATCTGAAGAAATCTTATACCTTAAACAATTTAAAACTTATGTGGAGCTCTGTCATGCGCTGTTGCTTTAGGAATAAAATCTGACACCATGTTCCACAAGTATATTTCATTTTCTTTTAGTCCATCCTTTTTACAAGAACTGTCATTTTTCTAGGAAGTTTATTATTGCAACCTAATTTTCCAAGCAGCAGTTCCGAGAAAAGAACAGGAGTTAGCTGGGCATAAATAGTACTCAGAGCACACTGTAGAACTACACACATCTGCTCACCGCTTCCCCTTCTTAGTCTTTAAGTAGTTCCAAACAGAGAGTGATAATTCATCTATCTTCAGATCCTTGTAAAATTTCGTATCAAACATCTAAATCCACAAAACCAAATACGACTACTCTGGTGCTGGGTTTAGGGGGAAGGTTCAGGTTTAATAGCATTAAAATGTACTCTCAGGTCCCTGTGCAGAGCTGGTGAACTAGTAGGTGTGGAGAGCTTTGTGGAAAAGGCAAACATTCCCTGCTGCCACTGCTGTACAGAAAATCTCATTGAAAAAAATGTGTGGTTAAGTATGTTTTTTCATTATATGGAAATAGCAGGAGTTAAAGCGCAGCTTCCATTTTCACAAGAGGCAAAGCACGAAAAGATAAATTTGTCAACAGTGGAAAAATGAAATGAATGTTTAGAAAAATGTCTAAAGATGTAAAACTGCCAAGTTAAAACGCAGAGTTGTCTTTTATTAAGTTTCTGAAATAGAAAAATAAAATCCTCCTTAAAAAAATTTAAAAAATAAAGTCTGAATTTATCCAGAAAACGCTCCTCAAATCTTGCAAAAATCACATTTTGCACATATGCAACTGTGTCTAATATTTGTTTTTATTCTTCCTTTTTAGACATTTGTTTGAAAGAGACAATGTCTTTGGCTGACAGTCTGTATAATCTACAATTGATTCAAGAATTTTGTCAGGAATACCTTAACCAGTGTTGCCATTTCAGTCTTGAGGATATGCTCTATGCAGCTTCTTCAATAAAGGTAAAAAATAAAAATAAAAAATAGAAACGCAAGCAGCATCCACAGGACTGTTTTGCTAATGATATATTTAGTCTTTTTGGTCTGCTGCTAGATGAATAAAAAAAACATGTTGCATCTCTCTGTGAAATAGCATGCAACACGCAAATTTCAGCAGTAAAACCACCTGCTCTTGGCACTTACGTCATTCCAGTAATTTCAGAGTATTTTTTTAAAAAACATTTGTGAATGTATTTATAAAAGCTTTGGTTTTCTGCAAAACTGTTTCATGCTTTATCTTCTTATTAACTAATTGTTAGTTAAAACATGTAATCTGTGATATCTCTGTTAAAATAATAGCGAGCTGCGTTAGTTTAAATTTATTAAGGCTTCCACAAAAGGACAAAATATTGAGGTTTTGGAAGTATTACTCACCCTTCTTACTCGTTTATGTGTACACAATAATTTTGTGGGTTTTAACCTTAAAGCTTTTTCTCTTGTAAAAGCCTACAGTTCTGAGTTAATTTCCTTGAAAAAATCTAATGTTTTTATGCTGGAACACAATTCCAACACATACATTTCTTTGATCAATTAAACATTTTTAGTCGTTCTGAGATTTTGTTCATTGAGAAGGAGGAAAAAATGTTTTTCTTATTCTATTATTTTTTAAGTCTGTGTGGAAAAACAAGGAGTAATTGGATTATTTCTTGCCTAATTGTAGCTTCAATTTTCATTTTTGTGTTTCTCCAAGACTGTCTTCTACATAAACCACTCTTGGTTTGCTTACGATTCTTGTTGGCCTGCCTTTAGGGAATGAAATACGATTTTTATGGAGTCAGCATATCCATTTGCAGATGGGATGTAATTGGTTTCTAAATATCTGGGTCATTTCACTGCTTTTCTGATCTTCAGAGCGATCCCACAAGCTGAATCACAGAGGCCGGAGCTTGAATACAGCTTTGTTGTCTCCTGTAGGGTTGAACCCAATCCCTTTTCAAATAAGTAATGAGCTGCCAGGGTGAGGAAGGGCAGCAAGACTTTAAGTCTAGACTACTTAGCTGGTTTATTTTGTGTAGGCAAAGTTGTGTAGTGACTGCCTGCAATCAGCTTTTGGTGTTTTTTTTTAATTTTAGGCAGAAAAAGCTTGGGAAGAGACTGCTGCATTGCAATCTCTCCTGTCCATAGTTTCCCAACACATGGTTCTACAATCATACTCGGGGATCTTGACTGTGTTTTCATTGTTTCTTCCAGCTCACAGATACATGGAATAAACGGAATTTGTTATTCTTCAATTTAATTTCTCACAGCAATACCTTATTTTTTTTTTAACATAGTCTGAATTATTTCTCAAGCTAGGATGCACCTTGAAGCTTCAATTTTTAAAAAGTGACTATATTAAATATTTTGTCACTATCCCAATGTCTCAGGCTTCACACTTTTAAAACGCTACAGTCTCGGTATTTTCGCTGTTTCCAAAACCTGTTTTGAGAGGGGATTTAGAGTTCTTTCAAAGATTTAGAGTATTTCTAGAACTGAGAAAGCCCTATTGTGATCATGTTTTTACAAGTTGCTGTGGTGTGGATACTTATTTAGATGTAAATGCTACAAAGCAAGACTGCCAAGTTTTTCTTCTAAAACTTGGCACAGAAACTTTGGCTAGTGATATAAACTCTGATTTTCCAGTGTTAAGAATTAATTTGCTCTCAAAATAAATTCACAGTTAAATGAGATCTTTTGTGCATCTGTTGAAAGTTCTAATAAATGTACATATTCTCAAAAAAATTCTACTGTAATTTTGAAAAAAAAACTATTGTAAATGGGTATTTTAAATATAGCACATTGAATTAAACTGGTTAACAGAAGTCACCTTTATTTCACCTTGATATTTCACCTTGGTCAAGGTGACTGGGCCTGCTTTTGGCTCTCCCATCAAAATGCACAGAAGCAAAGTCGGATTAATTGCAAACTTCGCTGAACAGGCATCCCCGGTCTTGGATAGAGGCGCTTGGATTTTGCAGCAGATGAAACTGTTGGCTTAGTTCTGTTTTAGCACAGAGGAGAAATAGGCTTTGTCTGGATTTCTAGACAGCTTTAATGCGTCGTAACCAAATGAAGCAGAAAGTAAGTTTTGTTGCTCCGCGCTTGCCCATTTCTCCTCCTCTAAGAAAAAAACATTAGTGAAGGTCTGCATAAGGTGTTTACTAAGGCAGAGCTACTGATGTTAAAGAAAAAATATTTGAATACATTCCATGGATGCTTGAGGCACCACCAAGGGATGATCCTGGTTGCTGGTTGTTTTCCTTTGAGACAGGCAAGCACAAGTAGAGAGAGATTACATTAAAAAAAAAAATCACAATATTTTCTGAGTCTTCTCTGCATATTTAGCAGGCGGGAAGAATAGAAAACTTTGGATCTCTCTTTAGTTGTGCAGATTGCTTTTTTTGCCGTGATCCTCTCTCCTCCCTTCTCCTATAAGCAGTTTTATCCTGAGACTTTTTTTTAAAAAAAAAACACCAAAACTATCTTGTCCTTCACCGGTATCTGGGAAAGAGCTGTTTTATTATGTCTTGACTTGCTGTGCTTATCCAAAGAACGAGTTTGTAGAAATAGAAGAAGTTGCATGAAGTGCTGCTGCGGGAAGCATGAACCACCCTGCAGATCAAGATTTTTGTTGCTTTGGCCCAACAGTGGATTTGCACCGCAGTGCGATAGGCAGTACACAGCAGCTGGGGCTGGAATAAAGGACCTGTGGAATGTGTGATTCCTGAAAGGACCTTGTGAGGGACATGCGTAGTCCATAAAGAGGAAGAAAAAACATTCATCGCACTTACTCCTTTTGCCCCGCGAGGTACACGTTGAAAGTATTTCTAAAAAAGACAAAACATCTCTTATATTGTCAATACTTCTAGGTGATTCTCTGCCAGTTTATTCTAGTAGGACCGTAGACTTCAGACCTAACAAGTCGTTTATGAGGTTAACTGCCCGTGAGGGCACTGACAGACAGCTTGAGTCATTCTGTGTTTGAAAGCTCACGCAGGGACTTAGCCTCATTATCTGAGAAAACCTGAGCAGTAATGGCTGTCCCTTGTCTGTGAAGGGTGTTCCTCTGCCCTGAATATGGGCCAGATGCTAAACTGTGCAGAGTCACAACTACGCAGTGGAAATCAGGACCTTGGGTTTGTTTTGCACTTTGTTAGTAACCGGAGCAGACAAAACATTTGCACTGTCAAAGGCTGGGCAGGATGGAGAGGTTCTTCCAGAACTTCTTTTTTTCCCCCCTGTTGCCGAGTTGAACAGAATATATCTAAAGGATTGCTTTATACTAAAAATATTTATTGCACTTGAATAGTTTTGAATTCTTGCACTTTCTGCTGTAACGTTGATGGTGACTTTGCAAACAGCTATAAGCAGAAGGTGGTACCGATGCTGTGCCCTCCAAAATGTGAAAAACAGTGTTTAAATACATCGCATGGATAAATCCTAGAAATTAAGGGCTATATGACGTTCTGTCCAATCTCAGTGAAAAAACCAGCTGCCGATGAGGTGGCTAACCCCAGCCTGAGTTTGAACTGACATCCCCCTGAGTGTGCCTACAGATTCCTTAAGGACTGTGGAGACCCACTGGCTCCCGTTGGGTGCCTTATGGTGAGAGTCAGACCCGGGATTTGGTTCCCATCTGCTCGATTGAAAAAAGGATTTGGGAATGAAAAGCAAGATTCAACCAGGGAATGAAAACCAAGATTCAACCAGGGAATCTTGAGGATCTCCCTTCTGAGAGAGACCAAACATTCCTGACTCATTATTTAAAGGTTTGCTTTCAGTGAGGTCAATTGGCCAGTTTTCCCTCTTCTTTGTTCTGGTCTGAAACAAGGCACCCAGGAGCCACTTAGATGGCGCTGGGACTGGTTAACCTGTGGCAGGAGATGGGATGAACTGGTAGCGCGTGGATCACGCACACAGCTATAATTCAGCCTTCTCCAGAGAGTTTGAAACACCCCTGTTTTCTTCAGTCTTGACACATCTGTGATTTATATGGATTTTTTATGTGTTTAATAATGGATTTGCATTTGAGGTAGCTTCCCTGGCTTACTGAACAGAGATTTTGGTGCGCATCGTGCCATGAATTTTACAGTGTGGGGTATTTTTTTTTTTGTAGATTTTGAGAAAATTCCTAAAAGTGTAATCTATGGCTGCTTCTGTATATAGGTTAAATGGATTTAAGCCTGATGACACAAATAATTTGTATGTAAAACCTTGTAGTTATTCTATAAATATGCAGACCTAAACCCTATCAATATTAGAAAGATATCTTATATCCTTTATACGAAGGATGTAAAATACTAGATATATAGAGATATATATACTATGTCTATACTAGGATATGTATTATATGAAGGATATAAAATACTATATATAGAGAGAGATATATAGATATATATACTAGGATCTATATTGTATGAAGGATATAAAATACAAGAAAGCTTTGAGGAACTTGGTCTGGTGTAAGTGTCCCTGCCCATGGTCAGGAGTTGGAACCAAATGATCTTTAAAGTCCGTTCCAACCCAAACTGTTTTGTGATTCTACAATAATTTATTCAAGTGGCAAGATTGGACGACTATTTCCATTAACTAATTTGGTATAAAAATTAGCCGTGATTTTAAAATTGACATGGAGGAAAAGAAATATTAAAATAATTTACCTCTTTTGTATAAAATTTTATAAAACAAGCTCGCTTATATCTGCCTCTGATACAGAAGCAAATAATGGCTTTAGGTTTCATGCTCAAAATATGGCACCTTTTTTCTTTCCCCAAAGCTAATATTCCAAAATCTGTTAAACAAAAGGACTTCTATTGTGATGCAATAGACAGAATGTAACCAGGAGTCCAGCTGACTACTTACGACTAATGAACAATCTGCAAATATCAGGCTGAAGCAAATGAAATCTGAATGCTTAGCAAATAAAAGCATCTGTGAAGCTGCAAGGGTGCCATCTGCTGTTCAGTGCGTTTGAGCCAGGCTCG